ACCTGAAATTAACGAAATCGACGGCCTATAAAGAAAATATATACAAAATGTTCTTCCTCTGCCTTTCCCTTTCTCCTAATCCTCTCCTTTCTCCTCTCCTTCCTATCTTTCCTTCTACTCCTCCCTCCATCCACTCTAACCGTTGTTGTGTTTACATATTCTCCTCTTCAGAGGATGACCTGGTTCTCTTTTTCTTATTCTTACACTTATTCTTAACCATGATGGGACCATGATGATAAATATGTGTCAGTCAACAGGAAGTTCTTCAGCTGGACAGACATGGGGGCTATGGACTCTCAAGAGTCTCACATGAACCCTGTCTGACAAACCAACTCTGGGGGTCCTTTTTTTGGATCAGAACCCCTCTGGAGGAGGGGCGAAGAAGGCATCAGACCCAGTGGGAGGCAATAGGTCCCTCACAGGTCAGAGATTTGCCCTATGAATTGGAGTCAGGGTGGCAGCCTGCAACATGGCTGACAAGATGTTGGCTTCCAGTCAAAGCAAAGGAACAGGAGGGTGTGGAAGAGATGAAAGACCAGTAAGAAAATTTATCTAACCCACAGCTATAAATCAAACCTGGAAAAGGCAAAGAAATCTTGAGAACATAAATAATGTTGAAGGTCAGATCAGGATTTTTTTCAAAAAGAAAGAAAGAAAGGAAAGGAAAATAAAGGGTTGAAACACACACACACACCCAAAAAATCTATTTCGTTTGAAATAAATTCGGACAGAAAGGGAGGAAGCAGAGAAGTGACAAACCCACTCAAATATAAACTCTAAGTTTGGTTTTGGATTTGAAACAGAAACCAAACATTCCAAGGATTTACTTACTTCATTTGGACTTTTTGCCAACTAATATATCTTAAGCAACTCCAAAAAATCAGGAAAAGAGCACTTCTTCTCACTGATAACTGATAATCTAACCTTAACTATGTGGGAAGTATTAATTAACCAACTGCCATAAATCAGAATTTGGAAAAGCAGGAGGTAAAAAGAAATATCCGAATCTGGCTGTTTGCAAGTTTGTTCCAAGTTATATATTTTGAGCAGCTATAATCAACCAGACCTGGAAGATGGCAGGAAAAAGAGTAATAATAGAATCAAGAACTGGGAAATATGAAGGTTTTTTTCTTTCTTCTTTTTTTTTCTCTCTGCAAAAGATTAAGATGGCCCCAGCTTCCCTTCCGGTTTCACAGTAGTTGAATTAAATTTAAGATGGACCAGAATCTCGAAATAAGACTTGTATAACTAACCGCAATTTTGGAACTGGACATTAAGGAAGAACAAAAGACCAAGATGGCTCCCATCGTTCTTCCCCACAGCAACTTGGGCTGCATTGTGGTCATAAGTCGAGGACTTCTTTTTTTAACATTTGTATTCCAGATCCTCCTCCCACTCTCTTGAGAGCACAGCCAGCGTTGCTGAAGTCGACCTACTTTCTGTAGCGGGAGGGGTGCAGCCGTCACTTCTGCAGCAATCGTACTGTCTCCTTATGTAATATCCTTTGTTGTAGGACAGCTCAATAAACCGAGTCTTGCAGTACCTCCGAGTTGCGCAACCCAGGATCATCTTGGTTTGTGTTTTGTTACCTGCAAAAGTGGGAAAAGGATGCATTGAGATGAGTATCCATCCAGCAAGGCGGATCAGACCAAGAAACAGACTCTCAGGCAAGACTTCTTCTTCTTCTTGTGCCATATCCGTCATCGGACATTGGCGATCACGTTGCCGATCCTATTTTTATCAACAGCCGCACGGAAAAGGGTGGCTGCATTTTGCCCAAACCAGTCCCTTATATTTTGAAGCCGTGATGTTCTTCGGTTCCACCACAAAACCGCGGACGACAAAATCGCGGTCGACGAAAGCGCGCATTTGACGTCATCACAGCGCAA